CCGCCTCTCACCCAGGAGCGGGGTATGCATCAAGCATTTTCCCTTCGAATCCCGGTGGGGGCAGGTGTTTGTGTGATGAATACGAGCATTTGTACTCCAGTCATGGATGGTTAATATGTATTTATATAAAAATATACTTATATGTACAGTATATGTATTCTATCCGTTACCCTAGTATCCCATAACAGATGCCTTATAGTGCTTACTTTGGGGCTAGGCTAATTGGTGTGCTTATATAAAAAAGCACTGTAAAGGTTTGTATCATAGGAAGATCATCATCAGCTTATTAATGTATCCACTGCCGGGGCACAGGCCTTCTGTATGGATGGAATAGCGACACTAGGCCGTGACCTACTGGGGATGGGTTGGTGCAGATTCAGCAAGGACCAACGTCTTAACGCGGCTTCCGAAGCAAGAAGAATCTCGACATAATGAGTTTTTGGTAGCCCATCCAATGACCAACCATTGCGAAAGTTGCTTAACTTTCACGATCTCATGCCGAATGCGCTAACCACCTGCGCTATCGAGCTACTGATTATAGGATACTAGAGTAATTATGTGACATTTCTTTAGAATAAGCTAGCAGCCATGACTGTTACTAAATGCTCCTACTCATCATACAAATACTTTTTTTTTTAAATATAGTTGGAAATTAGATAAAAGGATACTTTAAAATATTATTTTAATAAAACCCATCTTGCTATTTCAGTTTCGCTGTGACAACTCGTTTATTTTTCACTCACTTCAAACTTAACCATAAACAAATATTGCATCCTAACATTTTTAAAACGAAGCGCTACAAATTAACCTGCTCCTTCTGATGTTAATTATTTATAAGGTTCTTGGAATAGGACAGAGTCCTGGGGAACGCCGGCATTCACTGACATGAACCGCTAAGTGCTACCATCCGTAAGGACACGAATTCTACGCTCATGCAGGAAGTCAGCTACTCAAGAACAGAACTGGGCTGGCAGACCGAATGCCGGAAGCTTGGAGAGAAAGCTTTTGTGCCAGACCCTGTCGAATGCCTTGGCAATGTCAAGGCTGATAGCCAACGACTCGCCCCGCATGTCGATAGCCTCACCCCAGATATGAGTCAAGTACGCTAGAAGATCACCCGTCGATCGTTTCGGTCTAAAACCATATTGACAATCATTAATCAGGGAGTGATCCTCTAGGTAGCGGGTCAGATGGTTGTTATGGATCTTTTCTAGGACTTTACATAATACTGAGGTGACTGCCATTGGCCGGTAGTTTGCCGGGTCTGAGCGATCCCCTTTTTTGGGCACCGGTGGCACGTTAGCGTCTCTCCAAGTCTCCGGCACACGCCCCAAAGAATACGAGCATACAAACGTGTGAGCACGGGAGACAACTCCGCTGCACATTTTTTCAGTACTACTGCTGGGATGCCATCAGGTCCACCAGCTTTCCGGACGTCGAGCACGAACCTCACGCTGCATGATTTTGATATCAGGCATCGTTGTGCCACAATGAGGTAATGATGGTGTCAGTGCATTGCAATCATCGATTCGGGAGTTAGCCGCAAAGAGTTTTGCCAGTAAATCAGCTTTCTCCTGCGGCTTATGAGCTAGTGTTTCGTCTGGGCATCTCAGAGGTGGCAGCGAAGGCTGGCAGAAGTTCTTTTGCACGGCCTTGGCCAAACGCCAATAGCTACGGAAGCCCGTAGGATGCGTTATAAGTTCGTGACCAACATGTGCAACGCGCTGCGCATCCGCGCTGATGTAAGCCTTCTTACAGGCCTTGGAAGCAAAATTGTAGGCTGCTTTTAGTGAATCGACCCCGGGATCCTTAAGAGCGCGGCCTCTGATCCAAGCACGATATGCCGCTTGCTTACACTAAGCAGCTTCAGCACAGTTGTGGTTGAACCGGAGGTTACGTGTGCCCTTACTGATGAGATTGGAATGAGGAATATAGTATTCCATTAGAATCTTGTTGTAATTGTAAGATCGTACCTACTCGTATTTGATCATATTTTGATCGATCGATTGAATATCAGTTTAAGCACACAATGACGTGAAAAACAAAAGTAAACGGAACGGAAAACAAAGTTTAGGGTGTGAAACTGAAAAAAGGGAAAAAGTACAGAGTCCGCAGGTTAATCACATAACAAACATAGTCGAATAAGACACGAGAACCCTCTTTTTGAAGTTAGTTAATTAATAAAAAATACATTAAAAACCTTTAGGAGTGTTATTTCCTTGCCATTCAAGGCTCTGTTCTCATTGTCTATTGCGCGGTTTTTGGTCAAAAGCAACACATTAATGATGTCGCAGCATATGAAATTCCTCAGATCTGCCCCCCTTTCTGTTCCTAAAACTGAAAAGGCCTATGACAACACCACACTACGCCACGACAAGGCATTAAAGACGACATCGAAGGAGGAGGAGGAGGAGAACAAGATCAAAAAGAACATATTTTTTAATAATTTTAGGATTGTGAAAAGCTTTTGTATCATTTATTTTAACTGAATGGGAATTACTTGACTACTACTACTTACTGAATTACAAATAGATCTCCATTATTGATCGGAAACTTTTTGAAAAAAATAAACAAAATTCGAGATACCTTTTGAGTATCTTTATCTACGAGTCTGTACCATCCACCCCGGTCTTTATTCCTGCCCCGTTAACGGGACAGTTGGGAAAAAATGTTCTATCGACCTCGGCAGCTCCGACGTTTGACGGCGGTGAATGGCACAAATCAAGTATCATCTACCCTGGCTTGTTTTTAAAGGGGCGGTTAGCAGAGATTAACAACCCGCCAAGTGCCTGTCGTGCCAAGCGCAATGTCGGGTTCCGTAGTTGCCTGTAATTACCACAGTATATTTGTGCAGGAGTCTTTATTTTCTATATCGGAAATTAGAAAAACCAATGAATATCAATCTATCACAGAGATCTATCATCATATCATCTATCCTTTTTTTATAAAAACGTAACGTTAGTGCGACTCAGAAGCCGTTGCCGTTGGTACTCGCGGTAGCGTTGTGGAACTATTTATGTGGAAATATTTTATTCTAAGGAATTTTCATAGGTAAGAAATTTTCTTAAACCAAAGTTGAACGACTATTACTCTTAAACTAACAAATATATCTTTACCGTTATCGTTATCTAATAGCAAACGGATCTCTTAATCGAATAATATAGAAATAAGACTATATAGTATAGTCTTAGAAACTCCTAAGTAATTTAAAGGACCTCTTCAACGATATACCTCCACATGGGGTAGATGATTAAAAAAAATCATCCCCAGGTTACACGGAGCTACCCCATTTTTTAATTTTATTATGTCGTTTTGTCAGCGTGATTGATATACATATATCCACAAAATTACAGCTCTCTAGTGCCAATAGTCTCCAAGCAAAACTGGGGAAGGACAGACGGACATGACGAAACTATAAGAGTTCCTTGTCAAAACTGACTACGGAATCCTAAAAAGTAGCATTGGCTATGGCTTCTGCTAACCTCCCCGTTAGGAGTTCTATCGGTTTTTACAAACACATTCCTCGCGTGTCTTCGCACATCTCTTTGGAAAATGAAGCCTGATTCCGCAAGTGAGGTAGTAGAAATTGGAGCGCTTCTTGATAAGCATTTTTGCCCTGGCTGAATCATAAATTAAAAAGACAGCTAAGATTTATTAAATTGGATGTAGGTACCAGGGCCCCATAACTCCAAAGGAGGTATATTTATTATCTCGAGAAAATAGTGGAAAGCAGTACCTACATTCTTTGGTGAAGTACTAACGGGGCGGTTAGCGTATGCCATAGCCAAAAAACATGCCGGGTTAGATGATACTTGATCTGCGCCATCCACCCCGTTAAACGACGGGGTCGGAGTTACTTAACTAAGTCTATGGAGAAAACTGAAACGATAAGTTTTATGTTCGTGCCAAACCATTGCCATTGTCACATCCTTATTCTTATGTAAAAGAAGAAGAAAAATATCATACAGCTAAGGCTGTAAGAACGTAATATCCTTTGCTCTCTCTGGAAGACAAAATATTACAAAAATTGAGACTAGATCAATGTTGCCTCATATGTCAATATCAGGTCAAAACTAGCTCTTTTTTGTAGTTAAACTCTTTTTTCGTTATTTAGACCGAAAACAGCAGTCGAGCCTTTTATGATCGCTACTTCGCAATACATCTTCCAATTTACTTATTTTAAGGGCATGCCATGTTGAACTAACAGGATGAAAAGATATACAGTGTACCTATAGCTAGTGTTCTAAAAATTTAATTGTGCAAGTGTGCGTGTCGGTGTTTGATTGTGGGTAATAGTATCGTTTTGCCACCAAACCAAACCACAAACTGAATTGTATAAGCATCTTGCTTGCTTAGTTTCACAGAATTTTATAATAAACTTTATCACAGTACGGCTTGACAGACAAGACACTGTTATTTTATTGGTCCAAAGGTATATCATGTTGCGTCTCTTTCTACCTTCTAGGATTGTCATAAGGGCATGGTATCTCTTTTCCTCACTGTCATTTTTTAAATGCTAAGTCTATGTGTAACACAGATATCAATATGTACAGATCGAGTAATTTAGGATTTAACAATAATAAAATTTAACTATTTGCCGAATGCACGTATTATTCGTACGTATGGTATTCACGTGGTTTAACTTAAAACCCAAAAATAAATAGAGCTAAAAATAATGCTATCTTCACTAGATAAATATACTATAGGGTTTAAAATGACTGAGAGAATCTTGCTTTTCACTTCACAAAAGTTGATAATTACACATCACACACCGACGTAACGGCTGACTGACTCTAATCTTATGTAGGGGAAATCCCCCAATCTGGCAGCAGCAGATATTGTCCCAACCGTCGTGCGCGTGCGCCCTAGATTGACCCTGTAACAGAGATGTCAGTAGTCCGCTTAACTGCCCTTTTTTAAATATCAATGTAGCAGCACTGGCAAAAATGACAAATGGTCATGCAGCATGCTGCATTGATTGTCTTTCTGTCAATGTTGTTTGCTGAACACAGATTTGTTGAATGAATAAAATGAAAAAGTTCAGCTTGTGCTTATCTTATCAATACTTAATTTTGCATTGAATAATCAGTATCGCCAAAGTAGGCGTACAGAGAAGTGTGTGTTTATTGTAATAAATTTAATAAAACTTTTGTGAATTAGGAAATTGTTCAGGTCGTGTTTTAAATTGGTGTTTGTGTCGGTGTTGTTTTACTGTAGTACTGCGAAATATCAGGTAAAATAAACTGTTTGTTTTATATGCAAAAAGAATTTTAGTAATTTATAGTTTTTGGAAATCGGCTATTATATTACTCGGAATTTTATTTGAAGAATTTATATGTGAATTCTACATTAAAATCATTACATTGAAACCAGTTTTTAGCCACTCCGGCACCGTATTTATCAGTTTTACCTCTTAATGCCAAAAATTAAGAAGATGAGTTAATTTCCTACTTGTTGACAATTTAATCTAGTTATTAATTGTATTTATAGAAAATAGTACTGAGTACTATTTCGGCCTAATAAAAATTATAGAGATAGATTGAGCATAATACAGATCTTTTTGACAGTACGAAATATTTTTTTACTCTCTAATAATATGAGTAATATCTAGTACTTAATATTAAGTGTGCGAAAATATTTTAAAGATTAATTATTCATTGAATAGATATATTTTTTAAAAAACTCACACACATCTTTCAACTGATAGAGTATTGCTCCACTGCTCCCCCACCAGGATTTTACTATTTTGTTCCTCTTTGCACGCCTACATACATCTTTTGCACTATACTCTATGTTCTCATTCAGAACCTTTCAAAATCTGCACATATTTACTCTATATGCTATAATCATACAATGTAATAATGTTGATATTTTCAAAATTTCAATAATACTAGTCTAGGACTTCCTTAAAGGGCCCACAAACAGTTTTACTAGCATATAGAGTTATGTTACAATAGTTTCTGAATATATTATAATTAATAAACTTGAACGGGATACCCATCCACAAATGATAAAAATAGTTATCATGACTAAACCAGTTATCTTTGTAGAACACTATAAATTTATCAAACTCGCCAGTTTCCTCAACTATAGAGCACCATTTCAAAATGTTATTATGAAAAACATTGATTGATTTACTTAAACTCATGTTTTTTCCTTATTAATACTGTTAGTAGAGCACCAGGAAATGACAAAAGATGATATATTTTCTTAAAACATCAGTGTCTCCAAGCATTATGATTTTGGAATAATGTTGTTAAAATATTTGTAGGTAACACTAGAACTAATAAGAAAGATTTAATTTAAAGGTTTTATAATACAAATTACATAAGAAGACTGGACTAATTAGTATCTATTTCCTCTGGAACGATTAGGGATACTGGACCACCTGTGCCATCGAGCAGTTGATGAATTAATTGTTATTGATATAATGTAAAAGGTCAGAAAATTTAAATTATAATTAATTTAATTTGTCAGAAGTGGATAAATGTTATGTGTATAGTTTGATGTAAAATGACATTTGATATAATTTTGTATTTAATTTTTTACCAATAAACTTTAAAAAAATATACTATATAAAAGAGATTGTAATTGAAACAGTTTTTTGTTGAAGATTAATGTACTTTGTGATTGAATGTCAAATAATATGGAAGTGGATGGAATTTATCAAACTTCAAACAAAGTGAAGTAGACTGACATAAGAACTAAGTGGTACCAATTAATATACTCTAATAATGGAAATATCATGGAAAACTGACAAAAGAAAACTGAGGAGGCAAATAGTTAGATTTAAGGTTTGTTGTTTCATAGGGAATTTATTAGATATCTGTTATTTTTATTAGTTTAGAACAGTGGTTTTTAATAGATGGTCAACAGGCCAGTGGTGGTCCCTGGAAGCATGCAAAGTTATATATTCTATCTACAAAGCATATTTATTTATAGAGTAAATAATCATATTTGATAAGAGTTTATGAACTTTGCATGCAGGGAAGGTTATCTATCGTACCTATGTAGTAGAGAGATTATTATGGTTGGCAAACTTTTGCATCACTTGGTGACTTTAATTCTAAGTCTTAAAAAGATATTGAACGAAATGTATTTTCTATGATTTATAGGTATTCAACAAGGGAAGGGTGTTATAGGTCTCACATAAAATATTTCGGAGCCTATTCAATACAAACAAACAAATCTTTCCTCTTTATAATATAAGTAAAGATTATTAAGCAGTGATCTTGATGGAAAATATTTAAATATTTCTTCTCAAAACACCTGCCTTTTACATTTCATTTCTATTGTGGTATGACCAAAACTCAAAATACATTGTAAAAATCGAGTCAAATAGGTGAACAGTTACTTTATTTTGCCTATTGATTCTAGGTAGGTTCAATCAATCAATCAATGCAAAACTGCAAATTTAGATACAAAAATATAATTAGTCACTTTAACTGAGTCTGTTACACTTTTTTAGGGACTTTCATATAGTACATATATTTGAAAATGGAATTCTTTGCACATGTTACTGTTCTTTCCTTTCTACAATCTGGAGTTCTTAAAAGAGATTAGTGTTTGGTGTGGCATATTGCATACCAGATAACTGCGTGTCTAGATCTTCACTTTACACCATCTAGGGTGGAGTCGTTTGCTCTCTCCTTATATACACCGTGAATTTTGAGTTACCTGAGAAACTTGAGAGGTGCTCGATGGCGCAGGTGCTTAGCGCGTTCGGCTGCGATCTTTAAAGTTAAGCAACTTTCGCAAGGTCGGTCATTGGATGGGTGACCAAAAATCTTCTATCTCGAGTTGGTCGTTAGCACCCGCCAATCCATTCCGGCCGCCCGTGACTTCGTACGCGTGGAGTTAGTTAGAAATAAAGGTGCACTGTTCGTGCACCTTTATTTCCCCGTAGGTGATAGCGTGATAATATGTAGCCTATATGTTGACCCCACTTCTTAATAATATTCGTGCCAAATTTGAAGTAAATCCATGCAGTACTTTTTGTGTTTATCCCGGACATACATACAGACAAACAAATTCTAAAAACTATATTTTTGGCTTCGGTATCGATTGTAGATCACACCCCAAGAATTCTTTTAAAAAAATATTCTATGTATAGTTTTGACTTACCTACCATTTTATTTTATATGTATAGATAGATGATTCGAGTGATAGTAATGATGATCTACTGTAAAAATGTATATATCTATCTGTAAAAATGTATGTGGAATTACCATAATATGTGGGCATATGGTTACCGTGCGACAGAAACCCGTCGTTTTGCTGCGCTGACATAGTTTGAGCATTTATCTGGCCAAAACTTTGCTTCTGTACAAATAGCCGTGGCCATGTGTTAGCTGGGTACTATTAAACATTTAATGAAGTACAATTTATTTATTATTAAAAGATAGCGCTATAATATGCGCAATCTAAAGCGTGCCGGCGCTGTTAATTTACCACTCACAATGTTGACATAGACTCAGAAGACTTTATAATCTAAAACTGACACTGTTGGTGTAAATAACAATAATAATATTAATAATTATTCAGCCCATATGACGCCCACTGCTGAGCACAGGCCTCCAAAGATTTCCATGTTGATCGATCCTGGGCTGTCCACATTCAGCAGCTGCACGCGACCTTTATAATAATCATAATCAAAATCATTTATTCAGTTTAGGCTGTTTCAAACACTCATGAATGTCTAGAAACTATGCCATCGGTTCTTAAACCTACGGCGCACCGTAGATTCCGGGAGGCCTTGTACTGAGAAGAACCGGCAAGAAACTCAGCAAGGGCGGTTTTTTTTTCTCCCTGTCACAGAGTCGTCAAGTTGAAAAATGACTTCAGTGATGATTCATGAAGTTACCTTTATTACATAATGATCAAATATACATTATTGTTCACCTGCATTTTAATTGCTGTTTCTTGTATTATATTATTTTAGGTGTAACTAGGCATTAACATCTTCAATATCAAGGAAGTTAGGGCAGACTCATCTCCGCTGGCAGCACCCGTTGACGAGCATGACGCATGAACCAGCCATCGATTCGCTCAACCATATTTTAGGGAACGTAACAACGTAACGACCCTCCTCACACGACACCACCGAAGAGATTTTGATAGATCGTCGGTCCACCTGGTGCGTGGCCTGCCCACCGAGCGACGTCCGGTGCGCGATCGCCACTCGAGAACATTTCCGCCCCAATGGCCATCGGTTATCCTCACTATGTGTCCTGCTCACTGTCACTTCAGTACCCCAAGCACGAATTATGGTAGCTCCGTCTTCGTATCGCCAACGTCAAAGTTTCTATGGGAACTAAGCAGCGAACTTACCGGGCGAAAGAACAAACTTGCTTTTTCCATAGAAATGTTGACTTGGGACTAAATATTAATGTTTAGTTGTAATTGGGCCGAATATACATATAGTTTACTCAAAATCAGTTACTGAAATGAAAACTTTGAGTTTGATGACGCAAGTGAATCTATAATTGGGAAGGCCGATGCCCCAGCGGTGGGGACATTAATAGCTGATGATGATTAATCAGTTCAATGATTGGTTGAATGTTTCCTTTGTTCGCAGATGACAATCACTATGAAAAGATGGTACCGATCAAGGAGAAACCAGTTTATAATCGTCATACTTATAATTTCATGCACTGTATACTACGCCCTTATGGCTGACAGCCTACCCATGGAGCAAGATTTGGATTTGACGCGAAGGTAAGTTGTATTCTATTAGGCATATTTCAATTCAAGCATTCAACTGCTTGAATTTAATATCCAAAGAGATTTTTTACTAAAATCCAGCCGATGCCCTGAGATAAGTAGATTTTGTTCTATTAGAAATTTTCTTGTAAAACGTAATATTATGTGCATAATAAAACTGATAGTTGTTTGTATGGCTTCTCTCGATCATCGATCTCTGCTTTGTTTGAATTGTAATTCACGACATGTTTTCCGTTTATTTACACTGTTTTGAAAATGACTGTCTTTTTTGCACTATAGCTTGAGTTGCATCGTTGCATCAACTTACTTTAAATGTTCAGTTAATATCCTGATTGGATAAAAATTGGGTTGCACCATTTGACTATAATGAAAATGACATCATAATTTGAATGTGACAATTAACCGTCCACGTAAGACCAGTTCAAGTTATAGTAAAATTTAACTTTAACCAGCTCTATGGTGCAACTCACACTTAGATTTGTCCAATAAAAAATAACTATTTACTTTTTCTTTTTCGTGTGTCTACCTTGTTTTGTTGTCAAGTATTATTTCGCAAAAAGAAAATATCGCTGTCAAACAAAATAAAAAAAATACATATAATATTTAATATAAAGCTTCAAAACTTCGTCGAATCCGTAAATCCTCGATAATAGATTTTAGAAGGACGACATTCTAAGCTACATAGTCATGTTGACTTACTTCCAGGAGTTTTTAGAAAACAAGGTACAGCAAATTACGTGATATTTAGCATGAGTAGAGAAGAATAGCATAGAATAGCGATGATAGCTGAGGCCCAAGCACGAACTTTGACAGTTTCGTAATCGTATTGCACCGTCAATGTTTCTATGAAAACTAAGCAGCACCCCTACCGGACGTTAGAACAAACTGGCTTTTTCCATACAAAATTTGACCATGACTGTGGCGGCGACATCTATATGCCCCACATATAACTAACATGGAGGAAATAATCACTCGCCTCCTCAAGAGATGGCACTACCTGCGCTGCGATCACAATAGTATGCAAACCTACATCGCGCAAGTGAAATTCGGAGGCTATAACACTCCATATATACAATGCCCGACCAATATCGGTCGGGCCGCGGCCCCCCAGCTATCATCACCCAGCTCGCAGGAAGATCTTCCCCTTTGGCCTTCCTACAATGACGATACGATTACGAAGTTGCCAAAGTTCATGCTTGGGCCTCTGAATCAATAGGAGAGAATTCTGCACCACCTAAATTTACTGAGCATTTGTTATTAGGGCGTTGTCTTTTGACTGTGCTTTTCTGTATGGTGTTCTTGTCTTACCGGCACACTTACACTTTAATTTTTACTCGATTTGAAATAAAACTATCTTATAGTAATACCGTATGTGAGTACGGACTACAACAGAAGATAGGAAATCTCCAATCAGAGAGGAATAGCAACTATGCCCCATTTTCTCTCATATAGTATGCTTTCTCAGAAAATTTACTCCGTATCGATTTTCATGTTAGTTTATTTTATACAAATAGTTATTTATAAACAATGATGATTGAATCTGAATGTAATTTATAGCTCATCTCAAATAATCGCGATGTTTTGATACTTTTCTACAATCAGAAATAACACGTGCTGCTGTTAGTTAGACGATAACGCAAGGCTAAGCCCGAGGTAATTTTAAGAATTTAACTAACATGCTTAAGAATATTCAACATGATGTTAGGATGTTCAAACTGTTGCTGGTACAATAAATTGATTTATTTTCTTAAAAAAATATGGATTTCCTTTGAAATTTTTGCTGTGTGATAATTATAACTCGAAGTAGAAAACAATATACAAGGACGACAGTATTGTGTGATTTGTGCGTCAAACTCAGCACACAGGGTGACGTCACAAACAATTTGTCACGTTCTTGATGACAATTCAAAGTACAGTCAACGTTCAATATACGTTGAAATCACTGAAGATCACTCAAACAATTCGGCTTGACATTACGGGCCATGAAGTCTTTACTGCCCTTATGTTTTGTCCATCACACTCGAATGACATTTTGTGATTCGTTGAACACAAAAACGAGACAAAATAAAACACCGTAAGTAGTTGAAGCTATGTTTAGTTCATTAACAAGTCTTGTCAGATATGTTTCTTAAGAAAACCCTATATCGTTACATTATAAGTGTCCAAGTAATATTATTCTTTATCACTTTGATCTTGCAATGGCAACATAGTTCTAGATCGATGACGATAAGTAAAACCTATGCTTGAAGAATATACTTTAAAGAGTCTGTACTTAGCTGCTTCAACAACTTGCTTATCATGGATTTCTTCTCTATGAAAAAGGTGCGCTTAATAACTCTCGCTTCTTGGTAGGAAGCATTCTCAATGTGCTGTTTCTCACCATAGTCCAGGCAACGAAAAGGTATAGAGGGAATTGCTTAGAACACAATTTTTGACTTCGTGACTTTGTTAGGACTAGTTAGGAGGTAAACATATCAAAAGTCCCCGCCCGTAGCCCTTAAGCCGGGGGGAGGGGGGGGGGGGGGGCTTGAAGGTCCCATTTTTAGGTTTTTCGCATATATCTCGAAAACTATGCATCCTAGCGACATGAGACTTTCACAAAAGTGAAAGCTGATTAAATTTGCTACAAGTCTTATTCAGTCAAATTTTTTGATATCTTGTATAGTTTTCGAGATATCCGCTCTTGAAAGTCTGTAATTATGGAAAAAAAATTTGTTCCCATTTTTGCTCTATTTGACCGGATAACTCTTCAACAATGCACCCAAAAAATAAATGCCGGCCGTAGGGTTGTAGAGCATTAAATTATCTTCAATAATAGAAACAATTGCCTTTTTTTTTATTTAAGGACAAAATTGTTAGTGTAGTAGACGTATGGGGGCGGTACGGTGGGCACTAGGCCGCGTACTCAGCCCCCACGCGCGGGCCGTCCTGCGCACGTCTGTGGGGTCCTCGCGATACCCCGGGAGACCCCTGCCGCGGAACCTCGGCAAGGCCGGGAGGCTGCTAGGTGCGGAGACGCGGAAGAATCCCTAAACGGGGATTCCGCGGCTTCGCACTAAGCAGCTTAGAGGGTGTTCGCAGGGTTTTTTAGCGGATATTATGCCATATAGCGCCCGTAAGGGTTACGGGGTCCTCAGTGGGCAGCCACTGCTGGGGCTCGTAAGGCTTGCGGGAGCCAGGTGTGAGGTCCATAAGTAAAAAAGAAAAAAAAATTAGTGTCATTGAGAAACTGTAATTATCTAATAATAATATCTGTAATAATGATATCCGCTCTTGAAAATCTGTAATTATAGAAAAAAAAATGCTTTACATTTATGCTCTATTTGACCGGATAACTCTCGGATAACTCTTTAACGATGCACCGATGTCTAAATAGCACACATGCTCATTTTAGAATATGTACTTGTTGGCCCACTGACCAGGTTCTTCACACAATCCAGAAAATAAGTTTAAAAAAACTGCAAGAGTTAACTACTTTATGCAAAAAAGGTTATTATAAATTAGATGATTATTTAAATGATAAGATTGTCTGGTGTTGTATTGGTCCAGCTCAACACAAAAAGTAGTATTAAGAATGATTAAAATTATAAAACTGGACTTTAAAAAAAATTGAGACGGTAAGGCCCTGTGCCTCTGGTTTTTTTCCGGTTCTCATTGGCTATACAGGTACGAATACGGCAGCAGTTTTCGATACAATTCACTATGACGTGCAAAAAGAGATTTGTAAAAAAATCCAATATAGTTAATTTCTTGCTCTTTTGGGGTGGGAAGGACCTTGATCCTCGTCTTCGTTTACATTTTCTTTGTCTGTGTCATTTTCTCCATCGGAACCCTGTAGGGAAACGGTCAGAGGATCCTCCTGTTCTTCTTCACCTTCGGAGTCAACTTGAGGGACCCCATTCAAGCAGTTCCCCTGGCAATTTTGGCACGCTGGGGAACAGGAACGCAGGACACCCCCTTTAGTCAATACGTCTACTACCCTTTTTTTTTATACGCAGGCAAAAAATACTATTTACAGACGACGGCGCCTTTAAGAGGCACACCGCCGAACGGACCTCACACCTGGCTCCCGCAAGCCTTACGAGCCCCAGCAGTGGCTGCCCACTGAGGACCCCGTAACCCTTACGGGCGCTTTACGGCATAATATCCGCTAAAAAACCCTGCGAACACCCTCTAAGCTGCTTAGTGCGAAGCCGCGGAATCCCCGTTTAGGGATTCTTCCGCGTCTCCCCGCACCTAGCAGCCTCCCGGCCTTGCCGAGGTTCCGCGGCAGGGGTCTCCCGGGTATCGCGAGGACCCCACAGACGTGCGCAGGACGGCCCGCGCGTGGGGGCTGAGTACGCGGCCTAGTGCCCACCGTACCGCCCCCATACGTCTACTACACTAACAATTTTGTCCTTAAATAAAAAAAAAGGCAATTGTTTCTATTATTGAAGATAATTTAATGCTCTACAACCCTACGGCCGGCATTTATTTTTTGGGTGCATTGTTGAAGAGTTATCCGGTCAAATAGAGCAAAAATGGGAACAAATTTTTTTTCCATAATTACAGACTTTCAAGAGCGGATATCTCGAAAACTATACGAGATATCAAAAAATTTGACTGAATAAGACTTGTAGCAAATTTAATCAGCTTTCACTTTTGTGAAAGTCTCATGTCACTAGGATGCATAGTTTTCGAGATATATGCGAAAAACCTAAAAATGGGACCTTCAAGCCCCCCCCCCCCCCTCCCCCCGGCTTAAGGGCTACGGGCGGGGACTTTTGATATGTTTACCTCCTAACTAGTCCTAACAAAGTCACGAAGTCAAAAATTGTGTTCTAAGCAATTCCCTCTATACCTGTTTTTGAGCATTCGTTGCCTGGACTACCAGCGATATATCTGTGTTGTACTGTTCAAAGGCCCAAGCACGAATCTATCTATCTAGGAACAAACTGGCTCCTCTAATACAAAATTTGACAATACAGTTATTATTTACGGATCTGTAATTTTCATTCACACACGGGTTCTTTGGTAGTTTTAGATTTAGACTTCACTTTCCTACTCTTCAGGGTACTTCCGTAATACGTTTGTTTACATGATGAAAGATAGATAAGCCATTCGCAATAAACAGAGTTTATAAAAAGATGATTTTTATATGTAAATTGCCTAATTATACTTTTATCAAAGTGAATGCCTTATCTGAAAGTAGTCTACGTTCGGATGACGCATTTTAATAAAAGTACTTTTAATAAAATTGGTACTGTACGATGCAATGACACAGTATGACATAATATGGTAATTATTCTTATACCATTGTCATCTGAAAAAAAAAAGAAAAACGAGTAAATTAATACAGTAGATTTAATTACTGCTTTGTGTTATATCCGTATAAATTCAGACTTTTATGATTATTTAATAAAACACTCTTCGGAATAACCACTGATCGCATGAGATCATTTATTTAATTGTTTCGTTGTCACAAGACGATCGTTCAGCGGTACCAATAGTCTTTCTAATATTTCCTCTTTTTCTTTCAACAAAGAGAGAATGTAACTTTAATAATCAATATCTATATTCGTGGTTCTAATTTATCCATTTAAAGAGTGTTATATTAAATAAGTAGTGTAGTTTCTGTAGCTTCTTTCTTAGATGTGCTAATCTTTCATTCTTATCTATAATCACTTCTTAACTGCACTGCATTTTAATACAATTTACAGCATAATACCCTGCTCCACCTGATATTAAGTGTAAGTTGTCCAGTAGCTGACGTGGTATATAAATGTGCCTCTATTATCATCCTCATCTTACTGGACTGATCCCATTCTCCATACCCCGTGGAGCCATGTAACCCCACTCGCTAACTAAAACATAATACCACTGAAACAGTGATATTTTATTTTGGTCTTTTGTAAGGTGGTGGTTACTTCCTCGATGATTGCTTTAATTCAAGCTTAGAATCCTCTGTGACTATTTTAATGCTTTTTTCATAATTTTTGTTATGCTTTCCTTTAGTGTACCCATAGCGATTACACATAGAATAGTAGCAGCTTCATCACCGCCAGTGGTAGAGGCCACCAATTTGAAAAGGTACATCGATGCTTTAATATTGCACGCTTACTAAAACATCGTCTAAATAGCGGTTAACGAAGTGGTGACATTTTACCAATGCAAACCATTGTGAGAAATTTTATATAAAACGAGAAATCTGATACCGCGACGTTATGAGTTGAGAGTTGAATATCACCATGATTAGTAAAGCTGCGTATTCATTAGGAAACATTTGTTTATAAATAATGTTTCACAATGTTGCATCCTCTCTGCATACAGCTTAGAAACAGTTTATAAACAAAGGTGATGAAAAATTGTTTCAGATACACGTCGACGTGTTTTTCACTCTGAATGGAGAACAAGACGAAACATTTAGTTTATAAACAAAAGTTGATAGGTGTTTTGCGGGACGTTTATTAACATGGAAGTGGTGTGGTTCAATGATCAAGTTTCGATGCTCATAGAGCATTTTACTCTCGTACTACTACTCTCATTAAATACTACGTAAGCAGCCTAGATCAACTCAGGCAATAGCCTAGCAACAACTGACAAGTGTGGACGGCCAAATTTCAGAAACAGTGTTTACCGCAAACTTGTTTATAAACAAGGTGATGACTTTCATAAACAGTTTATCAACAAATGTTGCCTAATGAATACGCGGCCTGTCCTTGATCTGCTTATGGCACAAGCCAGATTAATTGACCGCGAGATGATGCAGGATATTTGAAGAATTTTTCCTTTTGATTAGAGTCAACTCTTAGTAAATTATCGTTAATTGCCATGCGAAGGCAATAATATGGATTCAATTTATTATTGTGTGCCTTGGATTAGTTTATCGTTGATTAATTGTTGTTGGTTGGTTGATTGTAGTTTGTCACCAAGCCGTTTACGCTATTTGCATAAGTTAAAAAATTATTAAGACTTAAAATATTTAAAGAATTTGTCTAGTATCCAAGCAGAACTATAAGATCTTATTTCCATTAGAATTTACCAAAATTTTACCTGCGCCATCGAGCTCCTCGTTACGTTACGTTTACATGGGATATATCCAATTATCCAGGTTGCTAAATTACTTTCTTCCTGGTCAGAATTACTAAGAATATTTGATGTTTTGCCATCTCAAAATTGCGTGGTGCATAATCATCATCTATAAACATTGTTTCTTCAGAGGCTTGTCGGATTGAATAATACAAAAGGCAATAAATCATATAAACGATAGTAAAATAAGACGTAGAAGTATTTTTATAAAAATCATCTATGACAGAACAAAAGTTTTCTGTGTACATCATAGTACATTGAAGGGTGTTTAGATTTCAGAGTTTCTCTGTAAACTAACTAGGTAATAGGGATTGAGAAAAAAAATATTATCAGTAACAACATATTGTTTATTTTGGGCATACCACTTTATTAAGGCAGCACAATCATCATCACTAACATTAGATAAACTGATATTGAAGTTAAATTTGATTATATTTTAGTAGAAGATAATATTTTATAATCGTATAAAAAGATTTTTTTCTTTAAAATACTGCAATTACCATAACTTTTGAATTGCTTATTATAAATTACGATATTTTTTAGGATATTTCGCAGAATCAATAAGAGAAAAGATATACTCTATCACATAAAAGGTAATTCTTCTGTCATTACGTAATTTAAATTTGAAAAAAAAAAACAAAGATTATTATCGTTTAATATGGTGTCATTTGTTCCGATTGAATCTGTTTTTTTTTGTGTGGACTTGATTATGGAATGATAATCGGAATATATAGAGCCTATGATCAAATTATTTTACTTATGAACACTCGTTGGAGTGCAACAACTATCAAAACTGACTAGCTTAGCTATTCCAAATTTATTCTCATGTTTTCATTGCCCCTTGGACAAACTAAATAATGCCCAAGCCCAATAAGAAATGATTTCATATTGTGATCTTACTCAAATTTTTGTATATTAGGTTTAATTTTGCGATGTCTATAGTCGGATCTATTAAAATTACATGTATGTTCGACTATGTTAATAAATGCTCTCTCGGCGTCACCATTTAGGCCTCTTTCAAGGCTACTGTGAAAAGGCTATTTCTAGATGAGTAAGCACGCATCAGCACCTCACGATTCTTTATTCACCAAAAAGCGAGTAGCTAATTATAAAATCTCACGTTATTAAGCTATTTATAAAGCACGTTTGTAAATTATAATAGCATACAACAAACAACTGTATTTCGTGTATAGATGGAATATGTTTACAAAGCAATATTTCTAGTGCAAGTCTGTTGTATTTTTTCTAGTTTCGGTTTTTTATTCAACTGGTGTGATTGTGCTCTTGCATTTGACCAAAGAATTCAACTAGTAGGATTTTGTGTATTTAAATAAAATTTAAAGACAACACACTCTTTATTTAATTTTGTATGATATATTGGCGAAGAAAGAACGTAAGGTCAAAAATACAATATCAGTTGGCAAATCACAGTTTTGTTAGTCCGGTGTGCTGCCCGCTGATACTGATAAGATATCTTGCAGTAATTTTTATGATCACACAGGGATCATTCATTGGTTTTTATTGCCCACCATTGTAAAGCGGATTGCACAGTTGGTTTGCAGGTGTGATGTAGTTATGTTGATAGCATGATTACCGCATATTTTTTTTATATATTTTCATAGACTTTTTGCTTACTTAGTGGATACTACGTTGTAATTATAATAAATAGAAATCCCACGTCGATGTTGTATTTGAAACCCTGTATATTCGGTGAAATCGTTTCATTTTACTATATACTCACTTAAATACGTTTGGTACTTGTCGTTTTAGTTTGCTCTTTTCAGCTTGTACGTTTGATGTTTTATTTTCATAGATTTTATATAGCATGTATGGAATGAGATTTAAATTGTTTTTCTTTGTTTTTTTTTACAGAGCTGCAATAATCGAGTAAGTAGTTGAAAGCTTATTTTTTAAGTAGCACGCTAAGCATGTTGTTTTTGTTGATAATCATGTTAACGTGTATGTAAAAATTTTGTTAGCAATTCGCTTAATTGTTATTAATACTAACGGACCGTTAATGTTATAACATGCATAATGCTTTCTTTAATTATTCAATAAACATGTGTTTTGTGACTGTACTTTGTGAACTTTTGGAGTTCTATACAGTAGAACAGCTATGGAATGGATCCAGTGGCTAATTATAAGACACAACGTAACATCATAATGTTTGTGGTGGTGGCTGGAGTGAATAACAACTAGAAATGTCTTATGTTTTGTTATTTACAAAATGCACAATACAATACAGTACACTTTATAATACATCACAAAAAACATTGCAATGAATACAGAACCATTTAATTCTAGTATAACAACGGGCGTCCGTATCGCTAAGAGCGATCTCTTCCAGACAACCTTTGGATGGAAAGGAGTAGAAGGAAGTGGGAGAGACGGCGGCGTAAATCTCATATGTAATTTATTAATATATACATACATACACAAATATATATATACATACATTTAATTTATATTTATAAATATAATATAAAACAAAATATAAATTGAGAAACGTAATCGTATTTACGCAAGCCATATGTGAAGTGAATACAAAAGTTTTAAAGTCGCTCAAGCTTATGAAGCTGGTCCTCTGTGAGATCAAGATAACAGACGTCAGCATAATCAAGAATAGGAAGCAATAATGACTGTGCTAAGGTAACTTTGGTGGTGATGGGTAAGCAATTGCGTAGTCTCCTAAGTAACGCTGCTGAAGCAAATAGTTTGTGATTGACTACTTGCATTTGTGGAACCCAACGTAAAAAATTATCGAACTTTAACCCTAACTTATTTAACGATGTGCTAAGTTAAATATTATTACCAGCCAGTTAGGTGTTGGGTAGTGACTGCCAATCGACTCTTATCTATCATCATAGAACTACCTACCTATTATGCTAGTTGTCTTAGGGGGATTCAAGTAAGTTTCACTCCACTTTAGTTCGCTATTAATGGCTCGCACCACGTTCCCAAGTTGACCAAGGAGTGATTGGCGATAAATTTGGAGGTCATTTGCATATAGGTAGTAGGAAGACGAAATATTGTTTGGAACAAAGTTTGGAACAGTCAGATTAAGACAGCAAAAAGAAGGGGAGATAAGACACCGAAAAGAAGGGGAGATAAGACACCGCCTTGGGGAACACCGGTAGTCGAGTAAGAAAATTTCTCCTCGAGGCGAACGCGCTTCCTGCACCCATACAGATACGTGTGAAGCACTGCTGGAGATACGTTAAGAGAGTGCAGCAATGCCAAATTAACATCAAAGTTGACCGTGTTTAAAGCATTTGCTAAAGTCCAACAATGTATACCGCAAGGAGACCGTTATCCATGCTCATCTAACCATCCAAATGTATTACGACATTTACTATGATGTACATCATTACGATGAAAGCAGTAGCAGCAAGTAGAAGTTCTTGATATGGATCGTGGATTCCGTGTCTAATGTGACACATGGCATGAAATGCATGTAATTGTACTTTTAATTCATGTCTAAAACAGTGAGGAGGCTCAAACAGTTTTAATAAGAGGTTTAATATTCTCTAAATTCAACATTACAACTCCTACAAACTGCAAACACATCAATACAAAGTTCAAATGCTTAGAAACTTAAAACTCAAACCGCCCCTTATCAGAAAACATTGTCTAAAATTTTAAAACTGTCTAAAAATGTTATTGTCACATCATATTTAAAATCTTAACTATATACTACCCTATCTACACTTATATGTATAACATACATAGTTCGTTTTCTTCTGCTGCTTTTGCCAGCCTACACCGTTCAGGATCCAGTGACAAGATGTGTGATAAGCTAAGCTACCCACGCAAACTTGCTTTTTTTGTTAAAAAATTCTCGCTTTTGAATTAGATTCAAAGATTTGGTCTTTGCTACAGATATATTGAGAAACGCCTACAAGAGACATTAAAGACAGACAAAGGTACAGGATGTGAAATCCCACAGCTGGACCCGTTCAGTAAAGAAGTGATGCAGTTCAATAAGGATTTACCGCCGATCAAATGCAAAGGACAAGATTGGGTAAAGTGTTGGGTAAGTTTTCTACCAATTAAAATGTTTAGCTTTTACTACTAGCTCAAAACAATTTTATTGAATTCAGATTTTCAGTGCATTTGCACGAAAATTGCAGTTCTTCTTCGTTCTAGATAGATACGCTGCCGCTTCAATTTCTCGCTATATAGTTGTTCGGAGTTCAGATGAGGGCTCCACTATGTTTAATTGAAAATAAATATATGTTTTAGTCTCATACCAATAAGATTAATTTTACTGTCTATTATCTTCGCTCACGGGTAATCCCTTAGGATAACTCAGGCCCTCAAAACTGTCAAATTTTTGTCAGTTTTGAGGGCCTGAGTTATCCTAAGGGTGAGACGCGTGAGATCCTTGAGACGCGTCTCAAAATCTTTTTACGTCTGTCGTCGTCAACTACAGAAGTGATTTTTATTGTCTCGACCTCGGACTGAAATTGGTCGTGATGTACCACTGTCGCATACTCCGTCTTATAAATTTAAATTTTACATCGGAGTTTTTCAACTTCGCGGGCCACAAAAACTGTCTTTTCTTCCGGATCAGCATTCTCGGTTTTCCGAGAATGCTGATATATAAAAGGCACACGATATCTCAGCAATAATGATTTATATTCTTTGTGGTTTGAAGCGAGTTAAATAGCAAATACTTGCTACTTAAAATTTCTTTTTTGTAAAAGCACTAATCATTTATAGAACTTATTATTCACAGATGCAAGTAGTTGGTCAATAACGACATAACTGTTCTTAAGATTTAAATACACAAATATACTCATCCTGACAGTCCAAGCAACATGAACTTTTGACAGATTTTTAATATTTCAATACTAATATTTTTATGTCAATAATAATCTATTAGTGACTTAACAAAAAGAAACTTTGAATAAATTATACATTTCATACCTTAATATAAAATATCAACTGACAAAACTTGTAGTTTGAATAAACGATGCATGTTGCTTAGACTCTTTTAATGAGTGTACGAGTATTATTAGTTTTTTAATTCATCCGAAAGTCTTTGATTTTTGTTGAATAATTATTCTCTTTCATTGCAGCATTCTGATTGCAAAGTGGTTCCGGAGATATTGGAAACGACGAGTGACATCACTTGCACATATCGGGATATAATCTATGACAGCGACGCAAAATATCATCTTGGCGCAAACGTTGATGTTAAGGGCGCTGATGTTTACAAACTGACGCAGAGCGATCATGCGAAAGTCAAGTGTACCGGGAAGCATGAGAATACGTGAGTGATTCCATTATCTCTATATTTTTGTATAAACATACTTATAATAAGACACGAGCAAATAACTCTATTCAACCTGAGGCCCATCATGAATTTTGATAGCTCCGTATGGCATCGTCAACGCTTCTATGAAAACTTAGTGGCGTCCCTACCGGACGTAAGGACTAGCTGACTTCTTCCATACAAAATTTGATGATGATGACACGATTACGGAGCTGTTTAAATTCATGTTGGGCCTCAGGTTGGATAGTCTCTGGGCCTCTGATCTGATATTATGTGACGGTGGAATCTAGACGCGAAAATAGCTGGTTCATTAGTTTTACCTACCATACCTGCCTGTTGCTTCTTTATGACTCATTTAAAGGAGGCTGTAGGAGGCAGGGAACACGAGCGGGCAAAATATTCTATTTGCGAATAGTACGACCAATAAATGATTCACCAAATCTTTTTGTTTTCGTTGGAATAGGGAATATTAAATCATCCTTAATGAGGCATGGTGCAAACGGCAGGACGGGCCGGACTGGATATTTGTGGCGCGAACAGTTGGTAAGAAGGCATTGAGCCCGCATGGTGGGTCATGGCTATTGAGCCTATTGCTTCCTATCCGTGGTGCAAGCCTATGCCTCAGCGATGACGACATTAAAAGGCTAATAATGAAGACATTTTTAAATTTAGGCAAAGCATCAACGCTGCTACTACTACATGAAGAAATTCCTGTTTTTTTTTCTTACAAAACTATTTTTTCCTTTTAGCCTTCTACCTTCCAAATGGACAGGCCACGTGGCAGGGTTTCGTAGTACAATAACCCCTAAAACACCCCCCAAAGGGAGGGAAGATACACTCAACGTTTTGATCTTCGGCTTCGACTCGACATCGCGGAATGGATTCATAAGGAAAATGCCTAACAGCTACAGATATCTGATGGAAGATCTGCAAGCGACTGTACTCAAGGGGTAAGATTTTGTTCATATGTTAGAAGTAATATTTTTTATTGCTCATAAATTGGGACTATGTCATGTGGTATATATCTTAAAGCCTTAAGCTGGGACAGAGACTGAACCGCAGAGATCCATTTTGTTAACGTAATTAATGACTATAACTATACTATTACGTGAAGTATCGTAATAGGGATGATGACTATTTTTTTTTCTTTGTATATCGGGTAGATTATCAAAAGTATTGGACATGTATTTTTTCTTTTTTCACAATATAAACATTGCAGAGATATATTCATTTGAAAAGTCGCATGACATCACGTTTTGGTACAATTTTCACTTAAAAGTGACGTCACGAGCCCCTACTCCCAAACTTTGACGCGCTATAACTTTGTCATTTTTTGGTTGATTGCCCGAAGAAAAAATACGTGTCCATTATTTTTTGATCATCTAACTAACGGACTAAATAGAATTTCGTTTACTGTACCCCGTCATCATCCCTATTGTCAAATTTTGTATATAAAAAACTAGTTTATTCTTATATCCGAAAGAGTGCTGCTTAGTTATTGTAGAAACTTTGACGACGCGATACGTTACGGAGATTTCAAAAACTCGTGCATGCGACATTTAGAGTGTGTAACTTAAGAGAAAATTGCATATCCATCTATGCTTTTCAGAACAATTATCATAGTGGTGTTATGATAAAGCAGTAGTGCATCACTAAATAGCTCGGTGATTATCACTTCGCATCTACCAGAAGCAGTTAGCGAATAGGCCTACTGATCTAAGATGCACGAACTCCGTTATCTCACAGTAATGTATAGCAATGTCGTAATCTTGTGGGCTTAACATACTCAAATACACAGATTGCATACTGATAATTTCGCGTGAAGATACGAGTAGTGTTTTCACGCACAGAAATCCATTAAATAAAACACTTTCTAAACGAGGAGCTCGATGGCGTAAGTGGTTAGCGCATTCGGCTGCGATCGTTGAAGTTAAGCAACTATTGCAGTGGTCGGTCATTGGATGGGTGACCAAAAATTTACTATCTGGAGTTCCTCCGTGCTTCGGAAGGCACGTTAAGCCGTTAGTTCCAGCTGCATCTGCAGTCGTTAACACCCGCCAAACCGCACTGGGCCCGCGTGGTGGGTCATGGCCCAATCTCCCTATTCCATCCATAGGGAAGGTCTGTGCCCCAGCAGTGGGGACATTCATGGGCTGATGATGATGATGATATGTAAAATAAGTTTACCTATAGAATAACAAGTACTTATATTATGCCTCTATATTTTGCTTTTCTTGTAAATGCTTATTAAATATCCACACTAGACTACACTAGTCTTTAGTGGTGATAAAAGTTTGTTTATTTATGGCTGGTTTCGAGTGCTTCTAGATTCTTAGAAACACAAGTTATCGAAAATAGGAAGACATAGGAGCGTAGATTGAGTAAAATAATATTTTATGTATTAAAATCAATTCTTTAGTGATAAAAATCAAAGAGGAACCAGTCGAGAATATTTGTATAGCCCGCATACATTGCCCGCCTCCCCTCTCTTAACGTGACTTCCACCCGACCGACCACTGCGAATGTTACTTAACTTCAACAATTGCAGCGGAATGGAACACGCTGACCTGTACCCTTAGCACGAACCAATATCGAATTCGAATAGTTTGCTCTTGCGAAATGTCATTGCCAAATTTGGTATGGAAACTTGAACAGCAGCGCCACAACGGACGCAACTAGAACTAAATATCAGTACAAAATTGACAATGACATTTCGGACTCGCAAACTATTCGAATTCGATAATGGTTCTTGCTAAGAGTACAGTACCCCTAGCACGAACCATTATCGAATTCGAATAGTTTGCAAACCGAAATGTCGATGTCATATTTTGTATGGAAACTTGAACAGCAGCGCCACAACGGACGTAACTAGAACTAAAAATCAGTACAAAATTGACAATGACATTTCGGACTCGCAAACTATTCGAATTCGATAATGGTTCGTGCTAAGGGTACAGTTGTGCCATCGTGCTCCTTTTCCATACAACAGTCTGTAATTTCAGGTACAATATTGTTGGGGACGGCACTCCCGCCGCTTTGTTCCCGATTCTCACTGGGAAGACAGAGTTGGAACTTCCCGATGTCAGGAAGAAAATGAACACAGGCACTTTGGATGACATGCCTTTCATATTCTACAAGCTGAAGGAAGACGGGTAAGATTTTTCTTTTTTGAAAAAAAGACACCCACAGACTGGTTTTTGATCATGTTGCAAAATCGGCGAAGTACAGCCAAAGTTGTCCCAGCATGTGTGTTTATATTTACAACAACATACCTAAAGAAATAAAACGGCTTAATAGTATACGATTGGTCCTCAAAAAGGTGTATTCATAGCTTTGCGAAAATACGATTTACAGTATAAAATAATTTCTTATCAATAAATATTAGATTTATGTACATATAGGTATTGACTAAGGCTTTGCGATAATACGATTTACAATATAAAATAATTTCTTGTCAATAAATATTAACATTTAAGTACCTATAGGTATTGACTAAGGCTTTGTAATTTGCATGCTACAATAATATAGCAAAACGTGTGCATTTTATAATACCTATTGGAAGTTCTTATTATACCCTATTTAAGAAAAAAACGAAAATTATTAATATTAAAACACTCGCACTAGGGAACGCAACACCGGGATACCGGGATCTCGAAATACTAGGATCCCGCATACATTTTGCGGGACTAATCTCGGTCCAAAAGTTTGCGGGATCCCGCTGGACTGGCGGGATTACAGAGAAGCGTGTTACATACGTGTTATTCTTTATGCGGCTCAGGCGCATATGTTCGAAAAGTCTATTAGCCTAGCAAATTCGAATACAAAAAATCGTTTATTAATATAAGGCTGTTACAAGCTCGGTTCCTAAAACTAAGGTAGGAGTGTTTTTGTACTGAGAAGAACAGGACTTAACACTGGGACGCGCAAAAACATTTTGATGATTTTGATGATGATTTCAAAACTTTTGATGATAAACGTCGAGAAAAGCATGTTTATTGTTAACTGTTATAATTATCTTATATTTTATTAGTGCATTACTGCAGCGGTCAACAAAAGAGACATTTATGGACGAACGTGTAAATATGGGCCGAGACGAAGCCGAAGCATACATACGTAAGTCCATCAATGCCTAGTTGTGGCCATGTCTTGCATAATATTTTTCTCATTACTGCGTGGATGTTAAAACTAAGTATTACCTAGGCAGAACTTATTATTTTGAAATACAATTACCCCCTATGCTGTGTAAGTGGATGATTTCCTCCAGCGGTAAAGAAAATTATTTTCATATTTTCATTTATCTATTTTTCGTTTTATCATATTTACTAATAGTTTTTAATTTACACTTCTAACATATAGATAAGATTGCAGAGAAACTATTCAGGATTGATTTTAAACATAAATGAAGCCTGGATGTACAGTAGAATTCGAATAATAAGAAAATTTATTGGGGAAACTTATTGATTTTCCGGCCGTGAAAAACATAGTAGATGACAAGGGCGGATCCAGCTTAGGCGCCAGGGGGGGTTCATATTGCCAGCTTTGGCGCCAGGGGGGTGGGGGGGGGGGGTCATATAGTCGTGGTATATTAAATATTGAAAGTACTTAAATAAAATCCCCCTGGGTTTGGTCCATCTGTACCCAGCCCAGGGGTCATGACCCCCATGACCCCCCTCCCCCCCCTGGATCTGCCCTTGGATGGCTACACTACTGAGGGGTTATCTATCTACTTTTCAATATCAATGCCGAACAACAACACTCATTCATATGTTTTTTTTTTTCAATATCAGTTCGAAATTTAATTAAAACCTTTGATAATTTTCCTTGCCATGACTCGCAGTAAAAGATCGTTCTATATTCGAATTACACTACAGATACTATGTAATTTATTTGAGCGCTAAACACGACAGATATGGATTTTCATACTGCTGATGCCGGCCGCTAATCGTATGTATGTGTCCAGTACCTCTAGCACGAACCAATATTGAATTCGTATCGTTTTCGAGTCCGAAATGTCATTGTCAAATGTGTACTATGTGTATTTTTAGTTCTCGTTACGTACTTTGTGCCACTGCTGTTCAAGTTTCCATAAAAAATTTGACATTGACATTTCGGTTTGCAAATTATTCGAATTCGATAATGGTTCGTGCTAGGGGTACTGAACAGGAATTTTGATTTATTTCGAAAAAGGTTGTCAAAATAAGCATGTTTGAGTTTTTTTTTATCGTGTTAGTCTTTATTGTAATATTAGTGACATAGAAATTTCAATTATGTTTATGATGCATCCCGTTGATATAAAGGACGTTCAGGGTTCCGGAATCACGCTTTCAGTACGAACCGTGAAACTAATTCATAATTAAGTTTGGACTTGTATATTGTTTTATCTTTGTTATTCAAACGCATCTAATTTCCTCGTACACTAGATAAAGATATCGTAGTAGCAGTACGTATGTATATGTATATCGCTTCCGTTGATATCTATATTGCGGAAATGGAGATTGATTATTAAATTATATAATATATATTAAATTTTGTTTTCCTTCCTTAAGTACCTCACTCGGACAATATTTATCAGTAATAGTAGGTACACTCGCGGAAAGAGCCGCTCTGTCACCCATAATGCCATAATCGCTTGCGGTAGCGGCGTAGTAAAAATTCATTCATGGACATGTAATTATCGCTGTCTTACTTTTTCGTATAGCGCTGTCGCGATCACAATGCGGATGACAAATTGCAACTAAAACAAATGCAATTCAATTCATTATTCAATCAATGAAATGCTCTCTGTCTTTCTTTTGTGCGGCGGTCCGGATTGGCGCGCCCGACGCGAAGGCGGGGCGTAGTAAACTACTGTAGAAAACCGTTTAAAGCATTTTGTTCGCCAAGGGACAGAGCGCAAAATTCCGCGATATTACCTACACACTTAAACAGCTTTGGACAATATATTTTCTAAAAGTCTTCTATAAATCCCTTCAACCCTTTACATCGACCCCATCGTGTTGTATCGTCGAATAGGCCCTTTTAAATGACATAGGGGTTGCAATGGTTATTTTTAGATTTAGGAATCCATTTGCGAAATATTGAACTTTTAAGTGATAATTTTTCTTCGAGTAGAGCGTCCCCTCGCTCTAAAGCTAAATTATTAACTTGAAAAATCTGAAAACAATCATGATAATAGGAACTAGGATAATAGAACTTTTGAGCAAAGTTATAACAGTTAAGATAGGTCAGTTAGTTTAAGAGTAAAGGCCGATTTACACCGAGATAACAACATGCTACAGTGCCGCACGCTACAGATTGTGGCATGGCTCATTTGGTCGGCATTTGCAACATGTGGCCGTCTATTTAACGCCGAGGCAACATCGTAACTAGATAATTTTTTAAAAATTGTGGTCTAATGGTGGTGTACGATCAAATCGTACATTTTGCTAGCAAAGCATTTTTAACCGCAAGTAATTGTTTAGGTCAATATTTTACCGTTTAAATATATTTCATAATCACGCCCAAGTTAGTTTGCGTTGGTCTCAAGCAGTGTGCACACAGTTACTTTCAAGTTTAATAAATATTTTCGTCAAGTTTATCAAGTGTTTTCCTGTCTTCGATATCAAGAAATAGCAATTCAATGTACTGAGTTGACAAGGGCTCGTACAGGTGGCATGCGCTAATGAGGTTCTTTATTTTCTTTTTGACTCTCTTCATCTAAATTGTATTTTGTTTAAGAACAAGTAAAACATCCCATAACATTATTCTATTGTTTTTATAATTTGAATTGCGGATATCCTACAGCACTTCACTCTTTCTATAATCCTCAAAGAAGTCTAAATATTTTCGTTACTTCACTCCATGACCGAAAATTCTCACATAAAAGCAAATACAAGCAAAAAAGCATTAAAAATATTCGCATGTAATCCATCTTGTTCGGATACAAGCTGCGACAATTTGCCACATGATGCAATGTGTTGCCAAGCTGCTTGATTCCTGCCACAATGAGCGACATTTTGAATTATTTTAGCATGCGGCCTTGTGGCATGCCACAATAATGCAGTGTTGCCCCGGCTTAAATCAGCCTTAATAGTCGTTCAAATTTTATATAAGAAAATTTCTTACCTAATAATACTTCCTTAGAAGAACACGTGTGTTAGATGAAGTAATTGCTTGTTTATAAAGCGCAACTTTGAATTGAATAACAACATCTAAAAAAACTGTTGGGTAAAACCACAATAAAATAGATACGGAACCCTACACTATGCGTGGCACGACACACACTTGCCCGGTTTTACCTATATTCTACCCGTAACCGCACAAACGTCATTGGATGTCGCCCGCAGATGGCAGATGTCGCTCGTGTTCGTGTGTTCGGCTGTTTTTACGGACTATTATGTCATGACTTGCGAAATTCATTCTTTCAAGAAAACTGTTACTTGTAAATTGTATTCATTATTACATAAAGAGAAATTACTAAAAACACCGAGTTTTTATTGAAGAAGACTCCACATCTATGCCCAAACAATATATTTAAATCATTCAAAAGACTGACGATTTGGATGCGACCAACATTCATGGCCGTTTGTTGAATTTTTTTGCTGCCCTCGACGTTCTGCCCCACTTAAAGGGCTCAATGGTGGGAGCTCTTCACCTTGTGAAGGTTGCCCCCCCCCCCCCCCCCCCCATGATATTCTGCCGCGCTTCGGTAAATCCAAAAACCCCCGCTTGACCCTATAATGTCAGATTGATTGAAAGCAGTCAATGTGTGCGTGTGTATCGCTGAGCGTAGATATTTTTTGGGCCGCTCAGGTGCAGTTAATATGGTATCTTGGCGTGTATAATCAAATCAAAGGTTATAACTAAGATTAGAAAAACAACTGTTACTAACTAATGGAAACAGATCTTCCTTTAATTTTACTGAATGAAGATTGATTATTTAAACTGATTGTAAGTGTGTAACGTGTCTTACTATAGATTTATAGATAACATAAATGTATGGCTGTCAGATAAGATTTTCGGCAGTGCCGCGCTATCTATGGTATGTCGATATCACTGAGTGGGTGTTAGGATAACGATAACTATTATCGACCAGGAGGGTTCATGATCGAATCCGGGTGGCGCAACCGATTATAGCCCAAAATGCACATTTTCAATTCCATATTATGAAAGCGTTTTCCAATTTTATAAAACACGCCAATTAGTCTAGCCCCTAAGTCAGCACTGTAAAGCTTTTGCTATGGTTATATGAGGGTAACTGATAGAATACATATATTGATACATAATTATAAAAGCATATTGAAAATTCTCTCAGCGGGATCCGAACCTGGGACATCTGAGTAGGCGACACCTTGGAACCCGGAGTACATAGCACTCACACCACGGAGGTGGCCCGTTTTAACTGAACTTGGCTCTGGTTCAATGTTTTTAGCTTATAGAGGTAGGTCTTACGAGAGGTAGTGTACAGCGGATTTTCCGCTCAAAGTGGAGCGCCCGTTTGGGGAAGCAACCTTCACATTACAGAAGGCTACAGTAAAATAACACTTTGGTGATGTTGCGTTCCTGCTGGTGAGTCGGGTTCCAGGGCTCCGCAGTGTGGGGGATTGGGTTCAGACCGGCAAGGTCCACTTACACTTAACATCAGAGGGTGGTGTCCACACATGAAAAAAATCTAAGCATAATTAAATCACTTAATTTATCTTTATCGATTGATAGATGGCGAAATTTGTATGTCATTCGGCTTGGTAGAGTTGCCGAATGGACGATTACCCATTTAGTGTCATTTAAAAAATAAACAGACTTGTTGTGATTATCAATTTTTATCTTTGTAATTTGATTATTGATAACTAAAAACTTTAGATATAAAAATAGGCGAACATGAACAATTTCATCCCTCCCTTATGTTCTGAAACTAACAAGCTTAAATTTTGTAAAAATAAAACACATAATAATTATATATTATACATATAGGTACAAGGTACCTATAATTATGTACAAGGAAAATCCGGTACAAGGAAAATCTAAAATGGTGCAATCACACTTGGTCTTTAGCCCGAATACGATTGCTTATAGAATTCGGACAAATGACTATTCGGACAAGAGTAAGTGAACGGAGTCGAGTACGGCTATAAAAACAATGTAAATATTACATCGGTTGCCCGAATTCGAGTAATGTCTTGCACCCAAATACGGGCTAACGACCAAATGTATATGCGCCATAAGAAGTTAAAAATTAAACCTTTCTAGATATTTGTACTTTAGAACTTCATTCTCAGTAATGTTACAAATTTAAAATTTTCTTAATTCAAATTGGAAGCATAATACAACTCTTTTGAATTGTTGATATTTTAGATCTAGATCTAGATATGCTAGAAATTTTAACGCAATTTAAAGTATCCTACTGAAACTGACTTATGAAATTTTCCTTGCAGCTATCGCACTGCATACTTCGAAGACATGCCGTGGATAGGAACTTTCCAATACCGTTTTAACGGTTTCAAAAAGCAACCAGCTGACCACTACCTTCGTTCATTTTATCTAGAGGAATCGTCTCGTGGTTCCCTATGGAGCTCTAAGGACACACGGTATTGTGTAGGAGCTACGCCGCGGTACCAGCTAATGATGAACCTTACAGATCAGGTAATTAGGTTCATTTAACTGAATAAATCAAACTCTTAAGTTTTTAATTGCAAACTAAATGTTACATTTGGTTTTGAAACATTAATATTACCTTATAGTATCTTATGACTAAGGAGCTCGATAGCGCAGGTGGTTAGCGCGATTGGCTGCGATCTTTGAAGTTAAGCAACTTTCGCAGTGGTCGGTCATTGGATGGGTGACCAAAAATCTTCTATCTCGAGTTCCTCCGTGCTTCGGAAGGCACGTTAAGCCGTTGGTCCCGGCTGCATCTGCAGTCGTTAGCACCCGCCAATCCGCACCTTGCCCACGTGTCAAATGCAAATGGATCATGGCCCAATCTTCCTATTCCATCCATAGGGAAGGCCTATGCCCCAGTAGTGGGGGCATTAATAGACTGATGATGATGACCTTATGACTAAGTTACCTTGTACAGGCTAGAAATGATGATGATATGGTTTATTCATTTGTTTCTCCAATCCCAACAGTTCCTCAGGTTGGACGGTAAACGGTTCGGTTTCACCTTCATAGCGGACATCACTCACGACGACTTCAATGTGATCGGATCGGCTGACAATGCCACCGTGGAATTCTTCAGGACGTTCAAGGATTCCGGCAGGATGAAAGACACGCTGTTAATCGTGATGGGTGACCACGGAGCTAGGTTGGTGCGAACATTTGTAATTATCATCTGTCTAATAATGGAATTTAGCCGGTTTAGTTAAGTAAAATAAAATAATACAATTAAATTAATTTATTATAACAGTAATTTTTTATCTAAAGAAATTTTTGCGGGAAAAAATTCAATGCGATAAATACATTAATAAATGTAGCAGTTAAATACTTCAAATAAAAATATAAATGTGCCAAATAATTTTTTACACTCACACCAAAGAAGGTGTTTATGTTAATTTACGTCACCAGTTGGCGCCACTGTGACATGATGTGTTTATGTTAATTTACGTCACCAGTTGGCGCCACTGTAAAATGAAGTCTTTTGTATGAAGTTTTCGGCGCGAACTAATCGAATGAGCATTCAAATTGATCCATAGACTATGTAGACATACGCCATTTGACGGATGTGTGTATGTTTCGTCTGAGTGCTGCCATTCCAGAAAACTTAGAAATATTGATTAAATTATTCACTAGATGGATTTTTAACTCAATAAAATAGAAAATACTCACTATCTGTTTTAATCTAAAGTATTCACTATTTAATTATAATAATATATTGACATAATGTTATGACCGAGATTCTTATAGAAATGTGAAAAATAATGAAATATGCATGAAATTCAATATTGTACTTGTTTATGAATACATTTTTATTATTTTATAATTTTATCGACTTCATTTTGCAATACCCTTACAGGGTCATGTACTATAACTAAGAATATATGTGACATCTTTTAACTTTTGTACATGATAGCAAATAAATAAATTACATTTTATCGTCATTACCAGGTACGCTAACGTCAGAAGCACGTTACAAGGCAAGTTAGAAGAACGCTTACCCCTAATGGCTCTAGTTCTCCCCGAAGAGTTAAAGAAGAAACGACCAAATGCTCAAGCTAACTTGGAGAAGAACGCAAATGTACTAACCACCCCCCACGATATACATGCGACAGTTCTGGACGTATTGAACTGGACCAACCTTTGGAATGACTATAGAATCAGAGGGGCTGATTTGCCGAGAGCTTTGACCCTATTGGAACCGGTAAGTTGTAGTTTTATTTGTAACTAGCTTCGTTTGCGTTAACTTTAGTTTTTTTTAATGTTAAAAGGGTGGTAGGCTACAGACGGCATAGCTTATAGACGCTTGTGATACAAAATCAAATCTATCCCGTGGAACCCTGGTACCTTACTGAAAGAAACACAACACCTTGTTGTTTTTAAATTATTTTTATTTTTCTTAGTGTTATGAAGCCACCGTTAGATGGCCCTCTTTATCATTGTTAATCTATTTTCTTTAAGCCAAAGAACAGTACCCTTAGCACGAACAAATATCGAATTCGTTACGTTTGTGAGAGATTTTTTGTTCTCGTTACATACTTTGTGGCACTGCTGTTCAGGTTTGCATACAAAATTTGAAATTGACATTTAGCACTCGCATACTATTCGAATTCGATAATGGTTCGTGCTAGGGGTACCGATCTTGCTGGCAAAAGGTGTCTGAAAATGATCCCATATACAATAGAGTTGTAGACCATCGTTCTTGTTAATATTGGTGTCCGATTTATTTATTTATATTTATAATCAGGCTACATAGGCCCATAGATAAATACCTTAAAGTCTAACATATATACAGATATAAAACACCTACCTACCTGTTATTAATGTAATAATATTTTTCTCTCTTATCATTCTAAGGTATCAAAGAACAGGTCTTTAGTTAGTCTGTCATCGTCTCCTTTCTATAAAATGCATAGCACAGAAGTAATGCAATGAAATTTTAGCGTACGCTTCCGCATAGACTACGTATTTTCCAACCAAAAGGTATGAATGGCGTGTTAGCAGGTTGCATTTGATATAAGATCGCTTTTTGATTCATCATGAGATCAGTTAAATGCTTAAAAAATAAAAATATAATTCTAATTGCTATTTCTTCTTTCAATTGTTAAATATCTACTTGTAAAGGTATTCATTTGATATTGTGGGTTACCTACAATGCGAAGAGATGGCGCTGCCTTGCAGCCTAAAAAATACTAGAGAAATTTCGACACGGACAATTAAGGCCGCGGTAGTATAATGGTCAGTGTATCCGCCCGGACAGCGGAGGTTGCGGGTTCGAGTCCCGCCTGCTGCCTGGGCGGCGTGGATTTTTTTCTATTAAAATTTTCTTTCGACTATGATTTGATTTTAAACACTTTCTAAGCTTTAGTTCAGTTCTGAGTTCCTGTCTCTTTGATTACCGGAATGAATGAGTGTGCATGTCAACTTTATCGAACTTTAATTTTTTCTATCCATCTCTTTGACGACCTCCGCGGTCCAGTGGTTTGTACACCAGGTTTCATGGTGTCGCCGACATGAGAGGTCCCGGGTTCGAATCCCAGTGGGGGCAGATGTTTGTGTGATGAATACGAGCATCTGTACTTCTAGTCATGGATGTTTCATATGTATTTCTATATAAAAATATACTTATATATGTACAGTATATGTATTCTACCCGTTATCCTAGCATCCATAGCACAAGTCTTACAGTGCTTACTTTGGGGCTAGGCTAATTGGTGTGAGTGTTGGAAATATTTATTTATGTTAATTTATTATTATCGTTCTTAGGTGCCAAAGAACAGGTCCTGCAGTGAGGCGGGAATCGAACCCCACTGGTGCGCCTGTCTTACCTGGCAAGATGTCTCTGAAAACGATCCCATATACAAGAGAGTAGTCGATGCGTTGGTGCGATACATAAATCAACTCACACAGGAGTACAGGTAAGACGTCATCATCATCATCAGCCTATTAATGCCCCCACTGCTGGGGTACAGGATGGAATAGGGAGATTGGGCCATAACCCACCACGCGGGCCCAGTATGGATTGGTGGGTGCTAACGACTGCAGATGCAGCCGGGACCAACGGCTTAACGTGCCTTCCGAAGCACGGAGGAGCTCGAGATAGTAAATTTTTGGTCACCCATCCATTGACCGACAGACCGCGACCGCAGCCTAACGCGCTAACGACTTGCGCCATCGAGCTCCTCTCCACCGCGAGGTAAGACGTCAATCTATTGATTTTTTTACCAGGAAACATACATTAGGTCTACAATTTTATCATTTAATTTTTTGGATAAATTAGAATCTCCTAATTGTGAAACTTGTGGTACTGTAGATAATGTTCAGCAGTAGTTTGTATTAAGTTAAACAATAGGACAATGTCATTATTGAAAAAAATAAAAAATAGAACATGTTCGATGTCGGGAAATTTGTAATAATATCGGCAGATCCGCAGTCGGCAGTATTCAAAAGTCTTATAAATATTTTTGCAACATTGAACCTTCATAGTGATTATAAAAATTTCGTAATTTATAAGGTTAGGATATAACGGCTGGCATACTCTAAATAAAGTAAAAAACAATTGACTAGAAAAAATCCACTCTGTATCGGACAGGACTTGAACCTACGCCTTCCGCTATCCAGGTCATTAAAACGTCAAACGACACAATGTAATGTTGGTTTGGCCGGAAGTTTACTAGCGTGTGACGTCATTTTAGTCTTGGCCAAATTCTATTTCATGATTTTACGGAAAAGTTATTAATTATTTGTTCTTTTACAATAGTAAAATCGCTGCTAATAATCATATCAAATACAGATGGCCCACAATCGCTACATTATTTGTTATACTATCAAATAGCCTATTAGTGGCTCAAGGTGTTCTTATTCTAAGCCACGAGTGGCCGTCACTAAACCACTAGTGGTCGCTTTTAGTTTCCGCGATTATTGGCTCAATGTGCGCTTGCTCTAAATGAACAGAGACAAAACATAAAGTAACCAATCCCAGTTTATTCTTCGTTTATCAATACGACTAATGGCTGAATTACACTTGGTCGTTAGCCCGTATTCGGGAGCACGAAAGACATTACTTGATTTCGGGCACCCGAATCAATAATTAATTACACTGGACGGTGTCGGGTACCCAAAACGAAAAGTACCCTAATACGCCCGTACTCGCCTTCGTTCGTTTACCAGAATGCCATTGGCACTCGTATTCGGGCTACCGGCCAAGTGTAATCGCGCCATAATGATGATAAACTAACATTTATGTTTTTAAATAAAACTAGTTTTAACGGATTAATGCACGAAACTTTATTTATTTATTGACGTTTCGCAGCCTTTTCAGGTCTGCATCGTTAGAATAATGATTTTTTATTTTATTTTAAAATCATTATTCTGTCTTGTGTTATTCTGTGTTAAAATCAGTATTCTTCTATAATCAAAAATTAAATAAAAAAACATTATTCTGACCTGAAAAGGCTGCGAAACGTCAATAAATAAATAAAGTTTCGTGCATAAAGCCGTAAAAATAGTTTTATTTAATGAGTGATGTGCGTGAAAACCTAAGAAACAAATATTTATGTTTTTATTTCGTCTGTCAGGTCGTTATGCGTCCCCCGTACCCTAACTTCTGTGGGTTGGGTGATGAAGCAGTTGGCCAACAACCATTTGATATCGTTTGTGTCGGCCAAAGACGCGGACGGTTACGTAGGCAAGTTTGGTGGGAAAGTCAACATCGATAGAGAGGTCTACCAAGTTAAGGTGAGGAAAGGAAAACGAGTACTTATGTTTCTAGTAATTTATGTTATTTACGGGATTTCTACGATGTACCTTGTTTTTAGCGAGTCTCCGATATTTCGGACTGTTGCAAGCGCCATGGTCATGGAGCTATTGGCAGACATATCAGTCTACCCTCTGACGTAGTCTTTTATTGAACTCGACATAATCTTAATTACTGTAAGGTTTTAAAAAAATGCATATATTATTCTAAAAAGAATGAATGTATTTGTCAAATAGCTAAAAAAAATCATATCAGAGCTATCGCTGGGCTATTGAGGAGTCGTGTAAGCCATTACTTAAATGTATTGGTTTACTACCACTACCATCAATGTATATTTATGAAACCTGTATTTTTGTGCCTGAACATGACTTATTTAAAAAAACAAGTGATATGAATTCTAGACTAATAAAAAGGAATCCTAGTAGACAAAATTTAAGTGGGACGCCAAAATAGCAATGTGTATAGTAGAAGCTAACTTACAATGTGTGTCCATATTTAAAACAAAATTCCAAATTCCGTAAAGAAACTAAACTAGATTATATGTTTATTTAAAAAAAGTTGTTGCAAAATAACTTTTATGATAGTAGAAAATTATTAGATTTTAAAAATTTACTTTTACTTTTCCTTCTTCTAAAACATTTGCAACATGTGTACCTGTACAATGTTTTGTACCATGTGTACAAAACATGTGTACCTATATAATTTATTTGAACATCTATTTATATTTTTTCTAGTTATAATTTCTTTAGATTTAAACATCAAGCAGTGACATGCTTAAAAAATAAATATTATAATCTTATTATGACACCTTTACCACTGGCCCCTTCTCCTCACAAACATAGGTATCTATATGCATTTTTCCTTTAATGAAGTCTGTATTTTTTGTTGATTCATGAGCTTCGTGAGCAGCAATACTGCTTAGAATAGAGGACTTTAACGCACATAATATTCATTTAAACAGACTTTATTGACACAGTATTCAACATAGAGTAAAGTACAATAATATAATCTTATTAAGTACGTATGTACGTTTTACGAACAAAACAAACTTCCTTCGAATTTTTGGTATATATATATTAATTCTAATTTACAATCTTCAGTCCATGACACCCGAATCCATGATGCCCCCCCCCCCCCCCATGTCATCAAAAATAAGCAAAGGGGCTGTCCATTAATGACGTGGTGTTTTTTTGGCGGTGTTTAACCACCCCTCCCCCTTAGTGATACATAGTGAGGTTTAAGACTAAACCCCCGCCCCCCATATCACGTGTATTTTTTAATACCTACAAAAAATCTTATTTTTTTTAAATATTTAAAAAATACAGGTATAAAGTATTAAGGTTGCAGATTGTTTTTGGCTGACATAAAAATAATCAAAGAAATGCGAAAAACTTTTTTGTACTAATGCATGAACAGTATTTAATGTACAGTATCCTCGGACCACGGAAATACACGTGATATATTACTATACCCCCCCCCCCCTCTCGTGATATTTCGTGATTTTTTAAGATAACTGTACTAACTGTTTTCTTAATTTATAATATTTGTGTGAAATAACTTATAAGTTATAAACATGGACTTATAAAAATTCATGTATTTTATAACCATGGACGTATAAAAACCTTTTTTTATACGTCCATGGTTATAAAATACATGAATCTCTACTAAGAGTTTTCTTTTGTAGATTGTTGTGGGACCAGGCGTTGGAGTTTACGAAGCTTCACTGACATACTCCAAGAAAGCAGATAAATTCGATGTCAACTATAGGGATATATCCAGGACTAACGCGTAAGTATCGTATTTATACATCAGTCCCGTCCGCTGCCTGGTCCGCATGGATTTTTTTTCTAGTAAAACTTTTCTTTAGATTTAATCACCTAGCAGTTACATGCTTAAAAATAAATAAAAACATAACTATAATTGCTATTTCTTCTTTCAAATATTTTTTACTAGAAAAAATAAGCTTAGACTAGTTGCGACGTGTCTTGTTCGTATCACTCAAGTGCCATTTGTAATTCCATGAACAGAGACAAAACATAGTGTAATTAATACAAGGATATTCTTCGTTTATTAATAAGGCGGTTACTGTAAGGTTTTGCTTTTTATGAAGCTTTTTATTTTCATTGTAAGTCTAAACTAAACGTTAAATAAGTAACGTAAAATTACCAAATACAAATATTTGCTGTTTGTCATTGACGAGTTCCATCACTTATCTTCGATGGTTCATTAGATCTATACAAAATTTAAAGTCATTCCAACAAAAAATAATCGCTCAAAATTGGTCCACAAAACTTCAACGATATGTCGAACTTACAATCATAAAAAATATACAATGTGTAAAAGAAATAACACACACCCTGAAAGAAGTTTATTAAAAATATGCAAATATATAAAATTAAGTAATTTTTATTTAATCAGTTTAACCAACGATATCTCAATGTTCGCAAAATTATTTACTGTACCGTTGCATTTAAAAATAAATTTAATTGCCTTGTATTATGTATCGTATTTTTTTTAGAATGATAAAATTAATGTTATTATTTTTTGAAATTTGTTTATGATATTTTTTTTATTGAATACTATTCAGGAGCCAATTCCAGCCAAAGTACTTTCGTGTAGGGTGTTCTTTATTTCTGTTACATGTTGTATACAAATATATAGGGTTAATTTTAAAACACCAACAACCTCTTAGGGGGTGATTCTACCCATCAACAGGAACAACTTTTACTATGGGACCAACTCTGAAATCTCGAAAAAAAACCAGCTATTTCATACATTTCGGTTGATTAACTACCCCCTAAGAGGTTGTTGGTGTTTTAAAATTAACCCTGTATACTGACGAATTGAAAACTTCCTTTGTAAGTTGCTTAAAATATCCCTTGTCTTTACAGTTACAACGATGAACCTCATTGCATCAGCGCATCTCATCCCCATCTCAACATGTATTGTTACTGCAACGATTGAATTGTATATAATATTCCCATTACACAGCTTTAGGGCTCGCTTCCACTAGCCAAGCTATATATAAGCTGTTCTATATTGCTATTGTACAGCGAGATGTACGGTAAAAATCCATTGTATGACAATGAGTTGATAAAACAGATCTACTCTGTTTCTTTTGCGAAATATTTTAAATTTGACTAAAATAATTATTAATTAGCACACAATTAATAGACAATTGAAACATATTCATTGATTTTAGCAGACGGAAAACTGAGTTGATCTCTTTGCTTCTCATTTTGATTTACCTACCGGATTTTCGCTGTACAACGACAAAGTATAATAAAGCCAAAAGTCTTTATAAGAAAAATATTACCAGTGACTTTACACCAGTCAAAGTTATAAAATTGGATTCAAGGTTCAATTGTTATACGATTATAGCTCTTATTGTTGTCTTATAGAAGCATCTTTGTATCCATTACCGTAGCATTGTCTGTAGTACACACTTTTATCACAATGCAATTTGAACCATAATAACAGTTGATTAGAAACTGTTCATAATTACCTCAGATTACAGAAGACAGATGGAACGCATGGAACACGAAATACGTGGCACAATAGCAAATACGAAGTCAGAAGCGACTATCAATTCGCGTCAGTACACCACAACGCATTATGTTGTGAATACGTTTCGTGAATATTAAATTTTTAATCAAAACTGTGCCACCTTGTTCGTTAAAACTGTTCGAAAAGACAAAAAAAGCATTTACTTTTGATTTGGTATTCGCTTTGTGGGCACGCATTACACGTTCTGTAAACTGAGATAATTACACTCGAAACTAATAATACGTAAAGGTGCTGGAAGAGATTTGAATCAGTTCAGTTTTTCTGATAATGACTGATTTAATTTTTTTGGAATTCGTAAATGTGTTTTTTATGTCGTTTTTATATGTCAACACTCAAAGTCCCTAAGGTAACATGAGTTTGAAACTCATATTACGTTATTGTTACAGTAGTTACTAGTAATTTGGTCTCCATAAAATTATTAGGATATAAGTACGTTTATTGATAATACTAGAAAAATCTGTATATGGTAGATGCTTAAGCTTTTTTGCAGTACTGGTATAATTCGTGTCCATGTCATTAAAGAAAGGAATCGAAAATAAGCCGACTAGGGACTTTCGGTCTCTCTCGCATGTTACTTAGGGGCCATCTATAAATAACGTCACACGTTAAGGGGGAGGGAGGGGGACGACGAAGGGTGAATTCGGAAATATACATCAGTATACTGGCCTTTGGTAATGACGTCACGAATCCGACGCCATTTTGTACTGGTATGCTACCATATTTTTACCGGAAAAACGAATATGACGTAGGACCGAGCATGCGTGAGATGCATTCGAATTTTATTTCTTTTTTATTTAAAGAATAATAATGGTATCCGAACGAAAAGAATTCCTTTTAATTAATGAGGTGAATAAAAAATCTTTATTCGCACTATTTTTAATATTGAGTCGATTTATGACGTCAGTGCACTGGCCAATATATTTCGGAACAATTCACCAGTATAGCGTCGATTCATGACGTCATTATCACTGGCCAGTATACTGGTATATATTACGGAATACACCCGAAATGTGACATCGTGTGACAAGGGGAGGGGTCCTAAACTTCGTGACGTCACATTTCAAAATCTATTATAATCTACGTTTTGAAACACGAACTTTAAACATATTACTTTACTAAAACATTAACAGCCCAAACGAGAACAAAGGGACTGTGATGCCAGTTATAAGTTATTTAAAGGAGTGGTGGGTTCAATGTCCAATGACTCAAGATCTTTAAGTTCGTATCTTTAATTTAAATATAATTCTATTAATATTTTTCTTTTCTTAATTTCTTTAATTAACGTAGTCAATTTTTTTTGGTTGGTAATTCCTTTAATTAATATAATTAATCGCTGTTTGTTATGTTAATTGTTTGATTTCATGTAAATATTATCAAATAATAATTTAAATGGAAATAAAACTGATTTCGGAATCGCTGTTTTCATTCATAATTTCTAAATGTAAATTTGCAAAATATATGACGTCACACTAGGGAGGGGGAGACTCACAAATGTGACCAGTTGTGACAAGGACGGGGGAAGGGGCAAAAAATAATGAAATTCGTGTGATGTAATTTATGGATGACCCCTTAGGGATAGCATGTGCGAGAAGAGCAGAATGTCTTACGTCGTTATTTGTGATTCCTTTGTATGACACCAGTTAAATAATTTTGCTGATGAATATTTGTGAGTTCCTGCAATGAAAATTAGCTGAATCGGGATATATTATTACTGCCAATTGTAAAATGTACGCAAAGATTGAGAACATTACAATATTAATTAATAGAAATAATACCTCAGTCAAATGAGTCCTGTATTATTCATTCATTATTTCGTTACAAAAGTATCCTTGAAACTTGAACCTTGTCGAGTTTTTGGTTCATTAATTATTTTTAATTTTATTATATTATTGGACATTATTGTTAATGTTGGTTATACATAACGCATGTATAAAAATACTGTATTTCAATTTAAGTATTGATGTTTATAGTATTAACTAATGAAAGCTACGTTTGCGCTATTTGCATTGTTTATTTAGGTTTTAAATTTATTCTTAAATCTATGTCAGTAAAGTTAATGTGTCCATGTACATGGAGCATTTAGGTTACTCTATGTGAGTATGCGAAAATCCCGGACCCAAAAATAAACCAATCACTTTATAATAAATAAATTAGTTTTTGATTGGTTTTAAACTTAAGTTGTCCCAGGATAGGGCCGGATTTAGAGTTGTGGAGACCCATAACGGTAGCGTATTTTAAATTCTAACAATGGTGTCGATTCTGGCACGATTATCTAAACTTAAAACTAAATTTAACATCTGTCTCTCCTTTTGATTCTGTATAGAGAACGACAAGAATACACTGTTGTCAGATTTAAGTTTCATCATCAGCCTATTGATGTCCCTACTGCAGGGGCACAGGTCTTCCCTATGGATGGAATAGGCAAATTGGGCCATGACCCACCACGTGGGCCCAGTGGGGATGGGTGGGTGCTAACGACTGCAGATGCAGTCGGGACCAACGGCTTAACGTGCCTTCCGAAGCACGGAGGAGCTGAAGATAGTTTTTTGGCCACCCATCCAATGACAGACCACTGCGAAAGTTGCTTAACTTTAACGATCGCAGCCCAACGCGCTAACCAGTTGCGTCATCGTGCTCCTCTAATAATTTAAGTTTAGGTTTAGAGAATCATGCCAGAGTCGACACCACTGACCATTTACGATTCGAAACCCGGTTTATTTGTTGTAGGTATCAAACTTGATTTAACCAATAATAATCGAGAATATTAATATTATTCCTTTACTAACGTTGAAATGCGTGCCTGGCACACGTTTTAAGAAAAAGAAACTGTAATCAGTAAATACAACAACATAATACTCTTAATCTAATAATAACTATATGTAAAGTGGGGATATTAAATTGTACTTTAATTCGACCCATTTTAAGTTACGTAGTCACAAGACTGTCTGTGTCCAAGTTTACGGGTGTTTAGTAAATATTTTTTTTGGTCGCGAAGCTAACTTTGTAAGAAAACGACCAGTATCCAAGTTTAGACAATTCAAAAGAATCTAGTCTTTTCTAAAGCCGGATTTATTTTAACCGTTTAGCTTGAATCTTTGTTAAACCTTCGCTCCGCCGCAATTCCATAGCTCTGTCTCTCTCCGACGTTCAGAATTGCCAATTTATGGAGCGAGCTTTTGGATTTCGTCTACCTCCTTGTTTGATAAACTCGTATAATAAATAAAGACCTTACTGTTTTATTTTCATTATTATGATGATATTTATGACTTTTTAAATATAGAAGATTTTTCATACTCAGACCGAGCATAAAACAGTACCGGATAATACGATCCATTATTGTCCTTATAGTACGTTGTTTTAAAGAACATTTTCGTGCACCATGGTTTTCTTTTTAATTTATACATTTTTTTAAATTTATGATTGCTCTACGTTTTTGTATAATATAACATAATTAACCATGTTCACAGGTTTAATACCCTTAAATAACAGTTATATAAAAGCTTTGGCTTGTGTTTTCGTAGATATACCCGATAGGCTGAATTTAACAATGTTACGATATAGGTATTATCACAGAACACAGAAAGAGGTGAGAAGGGCAGTCATAGACCGTTTGTACGGGAACCGATATCGCTGGCTCGCCCCCATTACATTTCCACCTAATAGATAATAGCCAATCAAACGACGCGACATCAAACAATCAAACCAATCAGCGCTCACACCCGAGAGCAACGACGCAATCAGAAGCAAGTTTTGCTCGTTGTTGCAAGTTGTGAGCATTTGCTCAAACATAACCATGGCGCGCCTGCCCCGCCCACAAGGCCTTCTTACCTGTGTTCTGTGAATATTATGGACTTCATAAGTAATAAATAAATGACACTTAAGATTTGTTCCCAAATCTCGCCTATATACCAAATACGGATAAAGGCGGAGTAATTACAGCACTCTTGCAGTGTACTTATAATATAATGTGCAATTATAACTAAGTCAAACCAAAACCAATTTTATGTGTTATGAACTTGAGTTCATAATAGCTTACATTTATTTTATAAATATTATTAATGTTGAAACTTTTCCGAGGGCGTTATGAAAGGCATATAACCTAATCATACTCAACAGATGTAGTCATATGTAGTCTCGAAAACCTTACCTTTAAGTTTGTAAAAATATGTCTAACTTTATCCAGCATCAGTCAATTAAGAAACTATATTAAAGGCTGATTTACGCCGAAACAACACTGTGCGTCATTGCGGCATTCCACAAGGCTGCATGCTACAATAATTAAAAATGTCGCACTTTGTGGCAGTAATCGTGCGGCATGGCAACACATTCATCATCATCATCATCGGCCTATTAATGTCCCCACTGCTAGGGCACAGGCCTTTCCTTTGGATGGAATAGGCAAATTGGGCCATGACCCACCACGCGGGCTCAGTGCGGATGGGTGGGTGCTAACGACTGCAGATGCAGCCGGGACCAACGGCTTAACGTGCCTACCGAAGCACGGAGGAACTCGAGATAGTAATTTTTTGATCACCCATCCAATGACCGACTACTGCGAAAGTTGCTTGTCAACACATTACGTCATGTGTAAAAGGGTAGCAGCATGTATCCGAACACAATGGATTACGCGCAACAATTTAGGTGGACAAAAAAGTTTGTAGGTTATGTTTTGTTTGTTTTTGTTTTGTATAGTGAGAATTATTGGTGATGGAGTGATGTAATAAAAAATATTGACACTTCATTGGGGATTATAGAAAGAGTGAAGTGTTGTAGGTTGATGATGAATAATAAAAACAATAGAGTGGGCCACCAGATGGGCCATGCCACAATATAAAGCATGCGCCACTGTCACATGTTGTTGCCTCGGCGTGAATCAGACTTTATGTTACTAGTGAAATATTTTTGTCTCTACGTATTGATGAATGCTCCACAAATACTCTTGTTTTTTGTTTTTATAATCTAATTAGATTCGAGATAACTACTGACTGAATCAAATGTCCTTTTTATGTCCCGAATGGAACATAGTTATATTTTTTTGTGTAATTATTCATGTAGTTACTTATACATATGAGCATAACACTACTTGTCATGTTTCAATACAAGAAAGGCATACGACGTATGCACATGATACACAATGTGAATATATTTGTATATAACAAATTATTTTAATTGTCTAGCCTTTGATTGTACAAATTGCCTTTTAAACAATATGTTGGTTTAAGATTTCTATAACAGTAATATAAAACATTATACTTAAAAGAAATTAAAAGTTATTGGGTAATTAATCAGTAAAAATAGTTTATGCTATAAATTTTTATAATCGATTTCAGGCGTTTGTATTTCTTCTTCTTGTGAATAAACGCTCAAACACTTATGTAAAAATGTACTGGAAATATTTAGTAATTATGTACTTATTTATTTTTCAGTGCTTTTTTTTATAAAATATTTTAAAAGATTATTTTGTGGGAAAATTCTATAATACTTATTTTTAAAAGAATTTGTGCTTGCGTTACTGATTAATTAATTTTCTTAATTGTGCTGTGGTAGATAACATGTTTTGTAAATAGTAGGTGTTCAAAAGTAATATATTGTTACTTTGATTCGAATGATTTAGTTTGTAAGTAGGTATGAGTTAAGTTTGGAAAAGTACTTAAGACGCATAAGTCTGTTACAACATTTTGTGAGGTTAAATCGGTACCTATACGAAAGAATGGAAGGACTGTATCCAGTGAATAACCTTGATTACACCAAATCTACTTTCATTTAAATAATTTTCGCTTAAAATTCAAATCGCGGGTAAAAATACCGGGGCGCAGCTAGTAATAACATATAAGAGCAAATTTGCTGAATATATTTTATAGATAACTTGCTATCATTATTTCGTGTCCTAGAGACCGAATTAAAAAAAAATATGAAACACCCTTTTTTAAGTTTTAGTTTAGTTTTTCTAAGCCAAGTTTCAAAGCCAAACTAACTTTGGAACCGCTATATAACCTAATTAACGGTGGAATAATAAAAAAATCCTTATTTCCTTGATGCCTACGTCATTAAAACAACCTATTTATTAAAAATCATGTCTCTACGACCAAAAGT